ACTGCAGGCGCGACGCTTCAATATAGACTGCAAGGTTGCTGGCATTCGGTTAGGCGGGACCTTCAACAACGCTTGGGTCGATTTACCGGCCCAACCTACTGCTCGTATGGAATCCACCAGCACGGATACAGTAAGCTGCCTGCCTAGACAGGGTCGCCTAAGCAATCAATCTAGAATCCACCAGAAGGATTACTCGACTCACTTAATTATTAGTTGCCTTCCCTGCTGATATGGGCTAGAATCCCACTAAGGCCACAAGATTTTCACAGTTGGGTCAGCTGAATCCTTCATCTTTGTCCTGCTGCCTCCACAGTCTTCACCTGTTGGTAATCTGCCGGTGCAATTTTTTGTGCATCCCTCCTCGGCCGCTCCTCTCCTGACTGATCATTGACTGACATGTTTTATCCTTATCCCTCTGCCCCTTTTCAGTTGGAGCAGCTGCTCAAGATCGTAGAGGTGTTCGGCCTTCCTCCCTGCCGCATGCTTGAAGCCAGCCCGAAGCTGGAGAACTTTTTTGAGCGTGTTACTCCCGGTGATTCGGCGCTTGCCGGCGGCCAGTCTGAATCGCCAGCTTCCTCCTCCTCCTCGGTCTTCGCGAAAGCGGTGATAACTGTCCGTGGCATCGTCTACCGGCCACGGCGATACTGGACCAAGGGTGGCGCTACAACCAAGGTAGGTGCTCAGTCGCCTCACTACCCCCTCGTTGCTTTCTCTTTCCTTCACCCCAACTGCACGCATGGATCCGTTTTCTCCTCTTCCTCCTCCTCCTGACTGAACAAACTACCTGCAGCAATTTCGTGCCATTAAAAAGTACTCACAAGGATGTACCTTTAACTCTGGGTAAAGGGCGAGTTCAAAGTCTGGTCCGATTTTAAAAATATTCCTTCTCCCCCTCTTACACGCGCCTCGGAGATCAGTGGCGCATTTATAACTTACCTGTTGAATCTGCAGTAATCTAGAAAGTAAAAGAAGCAAGTCTAGAAAGGCGTGATTAGTCACTTCTGGCAGTAAAAGCCTCCCTCGAATGCGATCGCGACTAAGCAGTTTTTTCTGCTGGGCGTATTATTGAGTTCCTTTTGTGCACGCTTCGTGTCTGCTTGATATCCTAGTTTTAGCTACTTTGTAAAGTGCTGATTGGGAGGTGACCTGTTTGGGACGACCTTCGTGCGTATGCTTGCATTCACGTTCTCCTGGTGGCAAAATAGAGCAAGTCACATGTTGTTTACTTTCACCCATGTGATCCGTTTACTGGACATACTGCGACCCTGAGCCCAGGGTCCAGCTGAACAGTCAAACTACGTTTCTTGACTGGTACTTACAGTGAGGGTTTTTTGATAGTCACAGTCAAAGTCCTTAACTCCAGCGCCCATTTTGCTGACATGGTCGGGTGAACGGTATGCTTGCCTGACCTCGGTAAGTAAGCCGACGACTGTCCCCTGTGAAAATCGGGAACGTTGAATATTTCCTGTTCCCCGTTTTTCGAACGTCCACCTTTTCATCTCTCGTTTCCTGATGCCTTCATTGATTACGGCGACTGTAGGCTTATGTATACCGCCAATTTTTCTGAACAAAAGAAAAGCTTCTAGTAACACAACCTTAAGGTTCAACCTTTTCTAAATTGATCTTCTAGTGCTGGTATGATGCAAGACTAGTCATTCATACTGCCATAATTTCTCCTATGTCATCCTCCTTGCTAAACACGACAGTTGTTTCATGTTAAGCAGTCTACTTTGTGGTTCTTGTTTTAATAGATTTGAATAATTCATTTCACTCAGCTGTGAAAAAACGGTCTAGTTAGAGTTTTTGCAACCGGCGACAGTTATGGAGGGCAGTGACACCAGTCCAGATGTGACTGCACAGGGCTCTGTATGCTGGCGCCAAATTGATAAATCGATTGACTGAGTTCTCATCGAAGGCCTAGGCTTCAATCAATTATTAGATTCTACTGCTTCTGGCGCCGTGACCGCAAGAAGAGCTCAGATGAATAAAGTCATTATTCTGGTGAGCAGAGAACCGTATTTTCTCCTTGTGTGGCAAAAGTAAGTTTTCTGTCTACGTCCCTCTGGCCACTGGAGAATGATCAGTGCTGTTGAACAAGAAGATGAGGTAGATAGTCTTTACTACGTTAAACAAATTATCTGACATCTCACTACTGGGCCCGCCGCCTGAGACGGTGGTGTGCTCCGTCCTTCGCCAGGGTTCATTCGTTGTGTGTGGTATTTTGTCTGAGACTTGAAACATCTAGTTATTCCTTTAACTCACTCACGGTATGTGGTTCATTGGGATATGACTACCCTGATTCCTTTTTTGGTTCTTTTCCCGCTTTCCTGCAGCTTTGACCGAATTTATAGACCGTCTAATTGAAGTATTCAGTAAAGTTTCACAACCGGCGTCCAGCCTTTTTTTTAAATCTCTGCCGTTGAAGAAAGACATGATTCTGGCGAGCAAACCGCTTTTGTCTTTTTTTACTGATATACACACCCACCCGGAATGCGAGCATTCCCCATCAATGCACGGTCTTCTTTCTCACCGCAACCCGTCTCTTCTTGTCTGTTTTTCCCAACACACGCACAGTGCCAGTTCCTCGGTGTGCATTCTCGACCGCTGCGAGATGTTGTAGGCCGGGAAACTGGAGGTCCCTCCGGCAGGCGCATCAACGAGGATGGTCACTCCCCGGAGGACTACGATAAGTTCATCGATCTTGTCCAGCAGATGCTCATCTACGATCCTCACCATCGGATACGGCCGGACGAGGCTCTTGCGCATCGGTTCTTTGAGCGCAAAAACAGCGAAGGTGGGTTTCTCTCTTTTTGGGTGTAGTGCTCTATCGCGAGAGTGGTTAAGGCTGAGCCGGTTAAACCCTACCTACTGCGATGATCCAGGCCCTGTTCCTTCGAAGAAGAAGAAGTCGTGGAAGCCAAGGTAGAAGGAGATTGTATTCTGTACAGAATAAGTAGGAAAACAATTA